TTTATTAACGCGACATAAATTAACGCGACATCAAATTTAACGCGGATTGCTTCTAGGTCTTTTAAAAGATGATTATATTAATGCGAATCTGATCTACATGGTTGACAAATTAATTAAATTTAACGCGAATCGGATAGTGAACTGATTGAGAGGAGCACTGATGTTTTTAGTTTACATTAATATGCTGTATTTTGATATTAGAAGAGTTAGTGTTATATAAAACAAATCGATGTCTTTTTAACTAACGATAAATAAAAATTACATACTTAAAATTAACGATGACCTAAATTAGCATTAATTAAATTAACGCGAATTTTTAAAATCTGCGTTAATAAAGTTAATTGTTATCGTTAATTTCCTATAATATTAAGGTAGTTTAAATGTCCATAATTTGATATTTTTCACTCAAAATTTAAATATTGTGCATTACCTTTACAACTAATTAATTGTGCATTACCTTTACAACTAATTAATTTTAGTTTCAAAATAGTAACAAAGTGCTGCGCCTTAATTGCCATTCACTTTTTTTAGTTTGACAACAGTTTGACTGTAATTTTTTATCCCATGTTGACAATTAGAAAATGCATGTTTCTAATAAATGGATTATTCGAAACCTGGAAGATTAATATAATTGAATGTATATTCACTTGTTGTTAATGCCTGTTGTTTAACGGCATATTGTTAATAATAAGTGTTTCATTACCACCACTAGCAAAACATTGTATTCAATAAAATTATTTTGGCAGCGTTACAGGTTGCCATTGTCGTTTGCCATCAAAAAGTGCAAGGACTGAAAGTGTCTACATTTAACCCACTGAGTGGCAGCAGTCTCCCCTTTAGGAGTGATATTTAACAATTATTTGCCAAAGGCGAGGTGATTATCGGGGAGCCCAAGACGAATAATTGTTTTAGTATTTTTACACAAGTTTTTTGGGACTGAATTTATTCTAATTTTGCTTATTTCTTTATCAGTAACTTCCACAAAACGGCTAGCCACCATTTTGTAAATTTCAGTTTTTGTTATATTCACCTGTCTTTTATTACATTTTTAGCAAGGGAAGAAATCAAGAAAAGGTAGAAGAAATTCACAAAGGTACAGTATAATTACTATTATGTGTGGTACATTTACATGTTATGCAAAGATATAATTAAAGTGCTTATAAGTACAGTATGGCATGCAGGTTTTCAGCCGCCAAGTGTCGACACTAATGTTGGTTTGGCAACCTATGTTCATGGACATAGTAAAAAAAAAATCTAATTATATGTTGTTAATTTTACGAAATTCAGTCTGGATGAAAGCAAAGCGGATGAAGATATGCCTGCAAGAAAAAAATTGGACATAAAGAATGATGAAAATGAAGATAAGGTATGTAGGATAAGTTGATATATGATAAAATAACCTAATGTACAATATTACTAGTATGGCATTTGTATGGTTAGCCAGGTTCAGTAGCTTCTGTGCACCAACATCACATTTTGTGTTCTGTATCGTAATTTATTTGCATAGTGAATTTCCTTTATTTCCCTATGTGAAGGTTGTTATGATTGACTATACTGAGAAAAAGAAGAGTTTTCTACTCCCAGTCTTGGTAAGTTGAGCCACACAAACCATGTATACTTAAAAGGCCTGCAGTAGTTCGCTTCAGTAAAAGTTACTATTATATTTGCTTGCCATGTATGGCTAGCACACCACTGTCTTTTTATTTCATTTCTGAAATGTTATTCTAAAATTCCTTCTAGCTTTTATCTTCTACTGGATCACATAGTGAAGCAAAAAGTCCTGAGAAAGTTGTTGTGAGATCATTTAAAGATGGGAAACAGTAAGTGTTACATTGAAATAAACAGCTTCTCCCTTCTCCTGAAATATCACTTTTTAGTGAGCATGTGAAATTTAAATTAAATTTCTTTTTTCGATCCACATGACTAGAATTGCTCAGGACCACATTAAATCAAACGTCTCAGTGATTAGCGATTTTGAAGCGATATATCCACTGTGTTAACCTATATTTCAGTATTGCATTAGCAGGTTACCCGTAAAGGAGCAACTAGCTCTGTGGGTTAAACCAGTCATGTGACAAAGATTATAAAATAAAATAAAATAGCAGTTGTGGATCTGACTTGATTTGTTGAGAGGGTGCAGGTTTTCCAGGGGTGCATTACTACGGGGAGTCCAGGGGCATTCTCCACCAGAAAATTTTTGAAATTTGAAGTCCTGAAATGCCATTTCCTGCATTCTGAGCTTTAGTCGTTTATTCGTTAAATTTGTCCTCACAGTACTTGTAGTTCAGGAAAAAACTTTAATTGATTATTAGATTTTTAATTGATTATTTGATGTCTCTTACGTAGCATTGAAGTCCATCCAAAGGATGTTAAAGAATTTTCAAAAGAAAGTGCTGTAAACTCCACATTAATAAAAGGGGAAAATCCGTCATTAAAATCAGGTATAGTGTTGTTGTATAAAGTATCCACAAGTAAACTCAAGATTCAAAACAAGACAATGAAAACAAATTGGCAAAGTTAGCCATGCTATGCTAATAACCCAGCATCTAAAATCTAAATAGGTTAACAGGGTGTTAGCCAGAAAAAAGTTTTGTCCGTTAAACGTAAATTGGGAAAGTTTTTTTGACCGATCAAAGTCCTTGTGTAGGAATAAATAGTGTTTTTTTCCAACATGTTTCTCCTTAGATGCAAACAACGGTAGCAAAACCGTAGCTTGGTTTTGTACATTTCATTTCCAGTGAATGAACACTGAAAAATGCACCCGATGGCACTTCGTTTTGTATATTTCATTTCCGGTGAATGAACACGGATGCACACCGATTACACTTTGTTTTGTACATTTCATTTCAGTGAATACACACCCAATATGAATGAAACGCGATACATTTTGAGAAAATAGTTAATGGGAAAAAGTAAATAAAACGTTCTTTGATATAATAATATAAAATCAAACGCAATGCACTTTCTCATCAGAAAAAATGAAAATCTTCCAGTAGACCCAGTTGGGAAAGCCCCTTAGCTACTTCAATTGGGAAGAGTCCGTCAAACGGACAGTATATGGGCTAGCTAACACCCTGGTTAAAGACAACACATTTCTAAATGTTTGAATAATGCAAATCATTAAAAATTTGCAAAGCATGACCTGTTATTGCTATGGTTAGCTTCGCCAATGCTTAGACCCTTTGGTGAACTTTATTCCTGTGGAAAATTGTTTTAGAGGAATTCTGTTTAAACATCTGTATGAAGCAGTAATCAACTCGGTAAACATCTGTATGAAGCAGTAATCAACTGTATTCACTAGTAATCAAGTTATAAGTTTAACCCTTTAAGTGGCTATGTGCCCCAGTATGCCCTACTTTATTTTTTACTCTGTCTAACTCCAGACGATTTTACTAGTCAAGGAGAGAGTGTTGTGCCACCCATAACAGCTTCAAAAGGAATGCCCCCAAACATGTTTTTCATGTTTTGCTTAGAGAAGAAATTGTCATTTTTAATGTTGTATAAAATATGATTTATTTACAAAACAAGTTGTTCAACCTTTTGTTATACTCTTTCATGTTCTTTTTCTTTCAGCTCATGAATATGCTGTAAAATATATCGAGACCAAACAGTTGCCAAGTAACTGGAACGATGATGGAGATGAAATATTGAAAAATGAAAGTAGTGATCATTCCTCGTCGACTGAAGCCGAGTCGGACGGTGATGAGAATGACAGGAATGAATTTCTTGAAAAGTTGAACAAATTTCTTGGGGAGAAAGGTGAGTGGGTGACTCATGAAATGTTCGGTTAGTTTAGTCCTACATTCAAAGCCCTAACGTTATTTATATATTGGATAGTGAAATGAAAAGGAAGCAGGGCTCGAATAGCGGGCTGGTAATAGCCAAAAGCAGGCCATATTTTAGAAATGGCAGGTAAAAACAAATTTGAACTGCCAATGAAAGTAAAAACAAATGGCAGGTGAAATTCTATAGATATATTTCATTTCATTTACTTACCACAACTCATATGCTAGATCATTTAGTTGACTAAATATACGTCTATATTTCAATCTCAGGCCGTATATATGCAAAACTATATAATATTCGATATGTTTATATTAAGGCACTCCACTGCTTCGTTCACCAGTACTGGGACATCGAGATCTTGATTTATATAAATTATTTAAAATTGTTTCCAAGATGAAAGGAATGGATAAGGTATGTATCACAATGTGTTTTGTTTTACAGAACGTCTTCACTTTTGTACTGTATTTGTTTTGTTCTGTTTTCGTTTGTTTCGTTTTTGTTTCGTTTTTGTTTTGTATATACAAAAAAATGGTACAGTACAAAACCCCGCATGTAAGAACCTAGATTTTCCAAGTTAGCCCAAACAGGTTCTTATGTAAATGGTGCTTACCAGGAAATTAGGCTAAACAGGTTCTTAAATAGGTTATTATTTTTTAAGAGAAATGCATATCATTTTAGGCAGGTGTGGCATATGATTTATATTTAAATTATATATATGCTATGCACAAATGATCTAAAAAATGACCGTATATGCACTATACCAACCCTGTATATGCACTTTGAAGCTACACTGATTGTAACTTATGACTTAAGTTTGACTCTATTTGATAATATAAGAAATCTGTTTTGAAATTCTAGCCTGAACAGGTTCTTCTTTAAAGGGGGTCTAAATAAAATAGTTTGGCCTAACAGGTTCTTACATTCTAGGTTCTTATATGCGGGGTTTTACTGTAGACCATGGAAGTTGACTGATCACTGATATGGAAATTTGGAGAAATAGATAATTATATGTAGTGATAACAGGGAACTTAAACGAAAATACTTTTATTTAAAGTGAACTTGAAATGAAGATCGTATTTTATGGATCTGCTCAGTTTTGCAGCAGCATATAGTATACAGTTCTGTATTTCACATGTGCTGTAAATGTAATTTCTCTCTAAGGTGGACTCGTGGCACACCGTGTACAAAAAGATGAGTATTCCTGTCATGACGACTACAGCATGTTATCATATCAAGAATGCTTACAAAAGGTATTGAGCTTTTCAGTAGAAATAACTGAATTTGTCTTTAATGGTTATGCGTGATTTCGTGCATATATGATCAACCAGTGAACACATAAATGTTACTGTAATGAAGACTTAATCTGTCCTGAGGAATTGAGGAAGAAGATTCAATTCAGACTCCATAATCTAATAGCATATTTAAATAGTCCTGCTTTGCTGAGATATAGCTAAGAGGTGGGTAGCTCGTTAGCCAAACTTGCACGCCCTAGTATTGTAACTGTAGTTTCCTCTTATTTGTCTACAAACTTTTGATGTTAATTTTTTTAGATATTTATATGATTACGAAATACATACACGTCAGGAAGACGATAATCCGATTTCAAAGAAAGCGAAGAAGTCTGAGAAATCTTCCAGTGCAAATACTTCAAATGATACCGCAGCAAAATCTTCTAGTTCAAATACTTCAAATAATACCACGGCAAAATCTTCCGATTCAAATACTTCAAATAATACCACAGCAAAATCTTCTGGTTCGAATACTTCAAGTAATACCGCAGCGAACTCTAAACAAGATGAAGAAACGCTTATTGGATCTGATTCCGAAAAAGACTTAAAAGAACTTCCTCTTTGTAATGATAATAAACTTCTTACACAGCATAAGCCAGCTTCAAAGAGAGGCAGGGGTCGACGAAGGGCCAGGTCAAACAAAGCTTTAAAGTCCCCAAGTTCGCCTGGATTATCTCCGTTGTCTCCTTGTTCACCAAAATCTATTAGCTCGGTTAGCGCGTCTGACTCTACGGGTTGCCCAAGTCCCGCGGATAATTATTGTGACGTGCGGGAACTGCGAGGGAAAATAGACTTGGTGCTTAGGAAGAGTAACGAGAAAGGTTCAACTAATAAAGGGGACGATCTTAGGGATAGTAAAAGTGATTTGTCTGATAAAATTAGGGGAAATGATGATAAAGACACTTCTAATTGTAAGACAAGAAAGTTGACGAAGGATAAAACGTGCAAGGAAGTCGAAATTGTGGTGAAGCTGGAGAAGAATATAGCGAATGTGGAGATCAATGTAGAAAATAAGACTGAAGCTGGAGATAATTTAACCAAAGACGATGAATCTACTTGTAAGGAAGGTACATTATTAAAAGAGGATGAAAAGCAAAATTGTAAAAATTCAGAAAAAGAAAGTAATTTAAAAGAAGATAGTGTAAACGATAAGGAAGACCTGAAGAAAATTCAAGATGGCGGTAGTCCCATGGATAAAGATGGTGGTGATGACCCAGATGATGGTGGGGATAAAACAGTACATCATATGGATACACCCATGGATGACGAAGGACAAGAGGGTACAGATGTCGAGGATGCAGTCGATGTCGTAAATAGTCCGAGCGGTACCTCGGAAACCGTCGATAGTGATGACCGTGGTGAACGGAAGGCGGACACAAAACCGAAGAAGAAAGGGGAGGGGAAGAATGGGGCTAAGAGTAATGATGGTAGCGATGACGTAGATGATTTAGAATATAAATTAAATGATCGGATTGATGTACGATATGGACGGGGAAGAAATGCAACTATTTACCATGCAAAGGTAAGCACACGTGTGGCATGCCTGTACATTTATTTATGCGGAGGTGGCCAGGAAGTTTTAGATTCATATAGCTACAATCTTGGACATAACCTTTGAGACCATTCTTGCCAATATTGCAACGTTAATGCACATTGACAAAACAAACTTCGTTACCCCATCTCTCTCCCATTCAATGTTGTAAACAGCAACAACACAACCTTCGGCAAGTTGCCATGCCGCAAGCTCAACATTGAGTTGGGGGAGTGGAGGTTTAAGAAGCGCAACATGATTTAATATGCAATTTTGCATAGAGGAAAAGGTAGTCTCAACAAGTTATGTCCAAGATTGCATGTAGCCCAACTGCCTGTAGTGTTGCCCCATGACTCGCTAACCTCTGCAGTCATGATGTGTGCTTGATGAGCGTATTTTAATTAGAATCCTCAGTGGCAGAGCAAAGACTGGATAATAAGTTATTAAAGTGCGACGAACCACAAATGTGAATTTTGGTATGTGTAATATTTGGATCATTCGAAGAAGAAATGTAATGTATCTTTATAATAAAAAATCGCATCTTAATCAGGTTTTTCACTGTCAAAGTTTCCGTATATGATGTCATTAGATGAATTGCAAATTAGTTTTCGTTTGTTTTTTTGTACCATAAATTCACCTAATGACATCATATTTGGAAACTTTGACAATGAAAAAGTTGATCAAGATGAGTTTTTTTACTATAAAGATACATTACATTTCTTCTTAGAATGATCCCAATATCACACATACCAAAAATTGTATTTGGGGTTAGTCCAACTTTAAGCTTTCTTTTCTACATAACCTACATATAAATCGTAATACATAGTGCTGATAAAGTCATTCCTAATTCAATCTGAATTTAAATACTACAACATGCAGTTCAACCCAAAGTGTAATGATATTTATATTGAAACTCATTCATTGATTTACTTCGCCACGTACAGTAAATATGTGGCAGGGTCACCACAACAACATACACCAATTTGTGTAGGCCGATTGAACAAATACAGAATATTCTCTCCATAGATAACGTGTGTGGATCCATACGCTGAGGAAGGATTGTATTATTTAGTTCATTATCAAGGATGGAATGCAAGGTAAATATATGTTGTCTTTCAATTTTGTGTGAACGGGTTTGGTGATCGGTTATATCCAGGTGGATTTAGACTCGTCTGATAGAATATGTGTAGATTATTCAAGACGTGCAAGTCCTGTGGTGCCGATATCCCAACCGAGTCCTAATGGATGTTTTTGGATGTGGTTGAGGATATTTACCTACCTCTCCCTTGCACTCTTTGAAGCAGAAGGACTGTGCACACCCACTCACCAAAACCCCATGCTCACCCCAGTAAATCCATGTTTGTCTGATGCACTGACAAACAGGGACGTGAAGAAAGTATGTCTGTTGCTTAGCTGTTGTATGTGATTTATTATCCATAGCATTCATCCCTGTACTCTCATTTCTAGACACGACGAGTGGATTGGCAATGAGAGAATAATCGGCCGTGGTGCAAAACAAACTCGAAAACGAACAATCAGAGAACCGACGAAGAGCATAAAGCCAACACCGAAACCCGCGGCGAAGCCAATTCCCAAGCCAGTGGCAAAGAAGAACGGTAAGAATGGGGCAGGACATATTGGACGACCGCCTGGCAGTAAGGGTCGTAAGAGAACACCTTCGCCTACGATGAATATGGTTGCGTCTGGTAGAAATGGTAATGGTAGAGCCAGTAAGACCCGTAAGGATAACGCGAGTGAGAAGACGGAACCCAGTTCAGAAGGTAGATATATTTTCTAATGGACAACTTCCATGTTAGACTAAGTTTTGATCTAGTCAAAAAAAGTAAATTCCCGTAAAGAACTTATCAAAATTAGTAAAATTGCAAAATTTGGTTACGAAATGAACATGTAAAATACGGAAAATATAGCCTTGCGAAGTTTGCATATTTTGTATATGTTTGTATTACGTGCGGAAATTGTTACCATTTTTGAGCCGAAAATGGTAAAAAATTTCCGCATGTAACACAAACATATACAAACTTTGCAAGGCTATATTTTTCAAGCTTTACAACATTTCGCAACCAAATTTTGCAATTTTACTAATTTCATTAATATGTTCTTTTTAGCTGTGGTGTTTGATTCCCTTCTCTTTACTTAGATTAAAATTTTAAGTTCTACACTTTTAAATTTCTTTTAAATTATACACTTAAAATTCACAATTTTAAGTGTAGCCAAATTTAACGTCGGACATGGTAGCATATAACCGTATACGATTAAATAAACTCTGTTCCGGTTCCGGCCGGAACTTAAAACATTGGGTCCAGACTTTTGATGCACCTTGCCAGAAAATCCGATACAAAGGCATTTTGATGCACAGGTATTTTGAAGTGCTGTAGATTGATTAACTATACCGTTCATGTTTACTTTTTACTTTCTAGTTAAATATACTGCTCGAATAACAAGACGGAATTCGCTGACCCTGCCAACGCAAATGTCAGGTAGGTACTTATCTTCATCCTTGGACGAGCTGTCCTGCACAACTCCGCGTCGTACCACACAACCCTAAGTACTAAACAGAGAGTGGCATGGCCTCTTTGGTATTGTATCTGACTGTGTATAGTTGTCCACTAGTTGACGGCGAGCAAATAACTTCAACTATAATAATAGTCATCCTTTCTATTTAATGGTTTGTTTTTCACTGCCCTTGATAAAACTATTTAGAACTTTTTTGCAACGTTTTCGAATGATGGGAAAACAAGCAGCATCATATAAGATATTGAGTAATTTTAGTCTGAAGATGGTTTGTTTGACAACTAGAGTAGTCCTTATTTGTGTTGGGTAAAGAGCTACCTAAAATTATCATGTTTTGTGATTGGCTTTCAGAAACAACGTTTTCTATAGTTTTATTGTCTTTCATTGTTATAATGAACCAACCACAAGCCTGGATAGTATAGGCAGATGATGTTCCTTTGTGTTACCATAACTCTTAACTTTAATATTTAGATCAAGATTTCCTTGACTTTCTGAGCCCCGATACGAAGACTGAGAGCGAGAAAGACTCCATGTCCAGTTCTTCTAGAACTCATCGAAGTTCTAAATCACCATCTCCCAAACGTCACGTCGAGAAGACGTCGGAGAAAGAAGAGAATCTGGAGGATGTGGAATTAGAGGAAAGTGTCGCAGTAGAGAAGAGTGAGGAAGCAGCCGATGAGAAGTCAGTTGAGAGCAGTCCAAGTGAGATGGATATTGACTGTAAGGTTGAGGTGGAGAAGACGTTATTAAAGCGTCCTCGTGAAGATGAAACAGGTGTGTACAGTATATGTTTTTTTAGTTTAGACCCTCAAACCCGTTTAATTTCCACTAGGCGAATCTGTTCGCGCGAAGCGACTTTTTTCTTTGTCGCCATCACTTATCACGTCAGCAAAAGCCATGCCGACAAAGGAAAATCGGTTATTTTAAAAAGCAAGAGAAAAGTCACAAGATTATTATTATTATTATTATTATTATAAATTTCCAAACTAGCAGTAACAACTGAATTACTTTGGAATTACAAGGTATAAGAACATAGGTATTCAATCTATTCTATATTTACAGGTAAAAATAGGTAAGTTAGATAAAAATTACGATAATAAACTAAAGTTTACTTATCATTATAAGCACGAGACGCAGCAGGAATGAAACTGTTCGAAAAACGTTCAGTTCTACACCTAGGTACTAATAGGTTGGAATAAGACCTCAGATCATAAGTTTGAAGATTTTTAGGCGGTACTAAGGCATTCAGTTTATGAGTGGGTTCCAACATCTTCGAAAAAAGGCGCTTGCAAAGAACTGTTCTACGTTCATAAAGAGTCATTAAGTTTGCTTTAAGCAAACATTCAGCATAGGTAGTTCCAGGAAAAATAATTTTTAATGCCCTTTTTTGGATTTTTTCGACTTGATCACTCAGGTACTGAGGAAGGCCATAATGCCACACCTGACAAGCATATTCCACAATTGGTCGGATATGTGTGCAATAGGTTGAGATCAGGCTATGAGAAGGTAAATCATTTCTTTTAAGAAGGCGCAGACCATACAAACGTTTCGCGGCTTTCTTGCAAATGTAGTCAATATGGTGATTCCATTTAAGATCGTCTGAAAGAACAACGCC